AAAAAAAATGCTTTAAAGTGACGTTACAAGGAAATATGAACATAAGTCCATATTTTTGTTATAGGTTGGATCAATAGAAGGACAGCCGGAAAAATCGGGCGTTTTTCCAATCAGTTTCGTCCATGTTCTTCCAGACTAGGACCCAGGTGTGGAAACCAAATTACGCGTGGGGGCTGAGGACGAACTGATTATTCAGTGGTTTCCRATAAGATCCAGGTGACCACGATGTTCACGGGCTCGCATCAGAGAGATGCAAAGTCAAGATGAAAAAAGATAGATTCACTTTTTAATCCGATATTTTTAGTTATTTTGGCAGGAAAATTGGTAGCTGGTATATTTTTAATTGACACAATCCGATACTTTGTACTGGTTGCTAGTTTTTCAAATCGTAAGGGGAGAATCCAAGATGGCGATAATGACAGTTCATAAAAACGAGAAAAGCAGCTGTTTCTCGATCATATTGAACATAAATGTGATAGTATATTAGCTAAATATATTTTAGATAAGATGTATTTTAATTTTTATTTATTGAGGGCGAAATTGTCCGTCTTATTGAAACCTCGTTTGATAAAACAAAAAGATTTTATTTTCTTTCTAAACTATATTGCAGTATTAATATTTTGCTATAAGTCTTGGCCTTTTCAGTCGGCAAGTAATAATAACAAAGCGTTGAAAGTTTAATTTTTTTAGAATTATATTTTTTATAAAGTTGGGAGCCCGTAAAAATGCATGCATGTGCACTTTTTACGAAAACTAGATGCTTGCAAAAAAAAATATAAACATAGATTAAATTCTGGTGACTTCAGATGCATTATGGGATACCTAAGATGCATTGTGGGATGTCTGTGTCACACGTGACTAATAAATAACCAACGAAATATTTTCTTATTGCATTTTTAGTTCTTTAAAATATATTTTTTGCATTTAAGAGTTTTGTTCTAGTCTCGAGGTTAGTTTAAAATCTTTGTAAATACAAGTTAAAGGAATTTTGTGCCTTTTATCGACTGAATTATAATTTGGCGAAYAAAAATATTCAAAAAGTCTGTGCTTTGTATTGTTTGATATGGGAAATAGCAGCTGTAGTCCAATTCAAATCCAGAGAATTCCGGAAGCTCGCCCACTTACCCAACATTTCACTTTAAACGTTGATGATACGATTGTTCGTTTAGAGGATGAAATTTTGAACAGTCCCAAACAATTAGAGAGAAAATCAATTAATAGAAAAGCTAGGAATTTTCCTTCCGATTTATTCATTTAGTTTGTATTAGTTAGGAAGGAAAATGAGTACATCTAGTAAAACCTTTTTCAGATTTAAATCAAGCAGAAATTGTAGTTAAACTACTGGTAGCTAATAGGGGGTAATAGTATTTAATAGTACAATTCCTATTTCACAGACGGATGAAAATGACTCTAAAATGAACGAATAGTTACTACTTCTTTGATTATGTTTCACAGTACAAGTGCGTTCTAAGCAAGTCCCTGCTTGCTCATGTATGGAGGAAAATTCAGCAACTAAATTTTTAACATAGGTCATCCTATCAAGGGCAATAAGCCGCATAAGGCTGTTATGAAAATAAGAGCATGATTTTGAGTGTTTACATTGTGCACTTGCGCCGGACACAGTCACCCCGAATGGCCGACTGACAAGCTTCTGGCCTGTATTGAGTTGAACTGCAGAAATATACGTGCTTATAGGAAAGCTTTTTTTTAATAAAAGAAATTGTTTGCAATTCCTAGTAAAAAATATGATGGCGAAACCGCCTGGTAAAGGGAAAAGTGTCACTAAATTTATAAACTGTTACGTAACATTTGTTGCTTTCAACTACAAACGTATGGTCTTAGTTTTCAGTTTTTTATTTGAATGCAGTTTTATACAATTTAAAACAATTGCTTATTAGTCCCGCGACAGTTGTAGCCATGTTTTAAGGACGACTTCAGCAGTTCGCATGCGATGGATAATGGTTAGGAGAAGCCGACGGGTTACTGTGAAATACGGTCGAATAGAGTCAACTGACGAAATTGTGCCCGCTAACTTGTTTAATGCTCAATGTAAAAATGTGAAATACGTCGTATAACTGAAGAAATTGTGCCCGCTAAATTGTTTAATGTTCAATGTAAAAATGTGAAATACGTCGTATAACCTGGCCAAAAGACGTGACTGAAGCCTTAAACCAAACAAAAACCATGTAATTGAAAGATGTTTAGTGGAAATTGATGAATTTCTGAGAAACAAAAGAGTTCATTAACAGGGCCAAAAAATCTTTACCTTTTGTTTTTGATGAAATTTGTTTCCACGCAGTGACGATATACGGTTTCCCGAAAACAAAAGTCTCTTTTCGTAAGATAGCGTTCTTGTACTGAAGTAATTGTGCTGCACTTGTCTAATAATAATGACCATAAGCTAGCAGTACTGATTTCTGTGCGGATTTAACATTTCGTAGTCTTTCATAAACTCAAGCAGCAGAATGATAATTTTACTTTAATTTAACATCCCAAAATATCTACCACCTTTTCGTAATAAAACGGTTGCTTATCTATATTTTACGAAATGGCACAATTRACGCTTTAATTCACTTCAAAACATTAAGTGAATATTCCACTCCTTGAAAACAATGCTTTKAGAAAAAGGTCTTTGAAAACAATAGCTTTGGAAAAATTAGTGCTTCCTACTTGGTGAGAAAATTCACTTCACAGCCCTAAGTATAAATTCAATACATCTAGCTGTGTTTACACATTGATCGCCCGCTACGACTGAGCTGAGTGGAACTAGGGAACGCTGTGGCAAATCCGTTAGCTAATCAATTAGAACCACAAGGTAAACTACTTTTCGTTCTATTAATCTGTTTGAAATTCCGCTTTATCAATTAGAATTATATATATATACCCACTGAATTTTACTTCTAACAAAGTGTCCTTTTTATGTATTTTTAAAACAAATTTATTTAGTCATTTTTGGTAAAGAGATACATCGAGGTCTTTCGAAAGAAGTTACAGTGGCATTTTTCTTGGCGCCAAACCCATTTCGAAAACAAGGTAATAAGACTCATCGTATTTCTGACATATCTTTATATGTTTATGCGTCCAACAAGCCACATACAAGCACACATGCATTCAACTTTCAATAGCAATGAGCAGCATTTCGAGTGCATCTGGAGAATGTTTCTAGTTCTTGCAATCTGGCATCTTGCTCGAACTGAATCGCTTGCAAAACTAGTACTACTGCACGGGCACTCAAAACATTTGCAGCTTCCTCTCCTTCTAGTCAAAACGATTGTCTTCTTTAAGTAAATAAAGCAATAAATATAGAATAAAAGTTCTATATCTGTGATTGCAATGACAAACACTAATGCTTTTATATACACAATTTGATATGATTTATTATGCTCGAGGATAAATCTGATAGAGACACTTGAAATTAAGATATAGCAAATAAACCACGCCAGGGGTTTTTGAGGGCGTTGTTAAATTAATGGTAAACTGTATGAGGCCATAATATGGAGTACGAAAGCCGAGTTCATACAAGCTCTCCCGCGAAGATAGTCTATTTATCATGCAATTATCTATGAAATACCTATATTTCTCCATTACGTAAAATTGATATTTTCACTAGTGAAAATAACATGTTATTTTCACTAGTGAAAATAACACATTCGAGGTTTCTCTATAAAGTGGAAGGAAGAAAAAAGGTATTTTAAGACATAAATTGCTTTCATATTTAATTATATGATAAACAGAATATTACGGCATGGTCGCTTGGAGATACGAATTTAAAACACTCGAAGATAAAATCCGTATCTCCGCGCGCCCATGTAATATCCTCTATTTATTTTTTTCGAGAAGTGTGCTAGGYATWWATCGATCGTTTTTCACTGATTTTGCTTTATTGTTTCCTTTTTTTCTTTTCTGATTTTTTAAATTCCGCACTCCTGTTGAAAAATGTGTGCCACTTACCCTGAAAGGTTGTAAAATTGAAAAAGTAAATATTATGTAAGTTTTGGACACTTGAATACTGAATATTTACATGACATTTACAATGTATGTCAATTTTATTTACATCATATTTACAAACGATGTAAATTTTATAGAAAGTTTATTTGAATTAAACGCGATGTACAAATATTGCGTAAACCAATTTTACACGATATTTACAAAGTTTTGGACTTTTACGGGATATTTCCAACCTTTGTAAATCTTATGGAAATGTTTTGGAGTGTTATACACCACAGCGAAGAAGACTCCTGTTGACTAATACAAATATGAAAGCATTCATATATTGAATTTTTATTTTTTCAAAGTGAAATGTGAAAATGTTTTTTTGAAATTGCTGGACTTTTGAGAGAAAAAGAGTTCATACCGGAACAAAAAATCTATTTTGTTTTTAATGAAATTTGTTTCGGCGAAAGCTATTTGTGAAAGACTTTTTTTAACCGGAAATTGCCGGTTTTTCAGGAGATTTTTGGGAAGATGTCGATGATGACATATTTGCTTTTTTTTTGTCCGGATGCAACGCTAGCTATTTTCGTAGATTTCCTCTAGTCTTCTTATAAATCCACGTGCCCCTATATTACATAACTAATACAGGGAATTACATAATCACTTATATATCTATTCAATTTTCAAAAAAAAAATTGTGCCATTCTTTTGTAGAAATTTTCGGACGAAAATGAACCAAAGTTCCAACTACACCATGATATACGTTTTCGCCCCTGTTAGCCTTAACGCTAAAGTTGTACTTGCTTTGGGGAACATCCTCTGTAGTTTGTACGGATTGGTAGCGAACTCTCTCATTCTGTTCTTCATATGTACGCGACAAGTTCCAGCAGTTCAAGGAATTTTGACGAGTCGTCAGTCTATAGTCAACCGCTTCATCCAAAGCCTGGCGCTCTCGGATGTTCTATGTTCACTGTTAAGTATTCCGTTATTCACAACGGAAATGTTYGAGGATTATATACAGACMGACTTAGCTTGTAAGGGCGTTCGTGCAGCGACAATGACATTTGCCGTTGTTACTGTCATGAACTATATTGTTATYAGTATTGAACGATACATGGGTGTGTTCTACYCGTTTGYTCTTCCAAGTAATGATTTCTGCAGAAAACTCGTAGCAGGAGCATGGGTCGCTGGCTTTCTCTTCCAACTTGTTATACTCCCAACATACAACCTGGTTTATTTTGATTTAGGAAATGGGACATATACCCGAGTATGTAAATATGACAACAGYATTTCTACTTACAGGGGGCTATTCTTAAGTTTTAATATTATTGGATACATCATTCCTTGTGCGGTTTTAGCCTACACTAGCATTTCCATGGCGATGTTTTTACGTCGTCAAAGACGCRTCATWCCTATAGCATCGAGCGAATCCGCAGAAACTAAGAATTTGAACATCACCAAAATAGCAGACCGATACAAAGTAACAAAACTGTTTGTGTTATTGATAGTTACTTTTATAACTCCCTACGTTGTTTTTATTATATATTCTTGTATATTAATGATCTTAAATCCAAGGATTACCTTCACTTTTGATTACATTACCCGGCATGTCTATTCATTGCTGGTGTTTTCTAATGCTGTAATTGGTTCAACCATCTTGTTCTATAACAGTAGGTACTTACGTCGWAGGCTTGTTAGGTTATTTCGAAGTTGTTGTGGAGTTTTTCAAGTGGACATAATGTAATTTCTTTATTGAAGATGTTACGTTAACCCTTCGAATCCTATTCCTAGAAACCAACAAAGGGCGTTTCCCCTCAATAGGCGATTTAAACGATGGCGTCACATACTACCAAGACCAGAATGCTTTGCCCAATTGCCCTATTTCATTATGGCGTCACAGTATGTTTACATCGGAAAACGATGCTCAAAAACAGCGGAAATTATGACCCATTTATATTGTCGACTAAAGTAGAACTTCAATGAATCGTGTTTTGATATATATCATGTATAAATGATTGTTCATGTACATTTTATTTCAAATGAAGTCACTCTGATCCCTTCTGGCGACCATAATCCTTTAGCGTTAAAACAATAGAATGTTTTGATGTGACGTCATAATGATCTAGGGCAATTTCTCTTGTAATGTGGTCCCATTTGTTTTACTAATATCCAAAGCCAGTTAAAAATCTGAATAACAAAGAAAATACACAGAGCATTATGGTAGTGATAGTGGAATGTAGCCAAGAATGCATATCACTTATTGACTGAAATTTTTTTTTTTTTGCTAATCAAATATCTTATCTAGAGTGCAAAGGACTAAAGCGAGAAAAATAGAGGGATCGCACTTAAACCGTGCAACTGTAAAAAATAAATAGTGCTATTTAGTTGTATTTTGTAGATCGATCATGCGGTACGCAAATTAAATTTATTTGTTATTTGTTTCCATCAAGGGATCTAGCTCCCAGGCCATCCCTTCTTGAGAATTTCCCTCAAAGTGTTCAATGTTATCAGTCCCATTGTTTCTTGGGTTTCTATTTTTGTTCCTTTTTTCTTGTGGACTTTCTTGCCCTAGACTCAGTCTCCAGCCGTCGGGATTTCGTGCGCCCGCGATACTCTCTCCCCTGACGGCTGGGCGCATGGGGTTCGAAACGTGTCGCGCATGTCCGTGACGTTTTTGTGTAATTAGCATATTATGCCGTAACGGAAGTGA